GAGGATGAAATCCTGAGCTGATCCCAGGCTCACCAGCCCTGGAATTCTTCCCTCCTTCCCTCCCTTTCACCATGGCAGGTTGATCTCACTGAGCCAGCAGCAGACCATTCTTCTTTTTTAATTTCTTGAATTCAGCACAACATCACCTGGCTGTAGGAGTGCAAGTGAGGAGGAATCCTGCCTTCCTCATCCCCCAGCCATGGCACCTGGCCAGGCTGTCATTGGGATGTTCTCTAGGGAGCTGCTCCTGCTCACTTTCCATCCTGCCTCCTGAATTCCACTGGAGAAGATGAATCCAGCAGCACCAGCTCCCAGTTTTAGGTTGAACGAGTTTCTTTGGTGATGCCACACGTTGGAAGCTGTGAGGAAAGGCTTTGAAACTGTGCTGACAGGAGCAGCACCTTCCTCATCTGTAGCGTTTAGTGCTGAGTCAAAAAGCCAAGCACACCCCAAAAGGAGACTTTCTGTTGTGGTTTTCCTGGGGAAAAACCTTTCCTCCAGAAAATGACTTCATCCAGAGGGAATTGCATCAAACCAGGTAATAGGTGCAGGTAAATGAGATTTGCTTTCAGAGTCATCCCTGCTCCCAGCTGGCAGCCAGGCTCTGGAGCTGTTCCAGCTCCCAGGATGGGCTGTTGGATGGGAGCTTGAGGTGGTTTTGAGGGATAGTAAATCCTGGAGGATGCTTTTCTTTCTGAAAACTGGTTCAGGAGGGAGATGAGCCTGGAGAGGTGTGAGAGCATTTGTTGGTTCATGGACTTGTGGGATACCTGGGCTGGAAGGGACGCACAGGGATCTTCAGCCAGTGCTTGGCTCTGCCCAGGACACCCCAAAATCCAATCCTGGGCATTGTCCTGGAGCTCTGGCAGCCTCAGGGCTGTGCCCATTCCCTGGGGAGCCTGGGCAGTGTCCAGCACCCTCTGGGGGAAGAACCTTTTCCTAATATTCAACCCAAACCTCCCTGATAAAGATGTTGGTTTCCAGATTTGTCATTCTGGAGAAACTTCTCCAAAGGTTTTATCCTGGGTAAAGCTGCCTGTGGCAGCAGAATGTGTCCCCTGCATCTCCCAGAGCTCACAGACTGCAATTCTCTGGGAAGGGACACTGGATCAGGATATTGGGCATTTTCCATGAGCACCCTCATGTGGTTTTCTCTCCTTTTTCCTTGCTCTTTATCCTGCATGGTGTGGAGGCTTTTCCCAGTCTTCCTTTCCTTCTTTCTCTGCACTTGGTTGATTTGAGGATATTCCAGAGGTGAAATGGAAATTCCAAATGGGTTTGTAAACATCTGCTGGAAGGAGCCCTGGAGCCAGCTTGGACTATTGAATGTTAGCAGGTTATAACATATTCCAATTTTTGGTGCTCCTCCGAGGTGAAATACTCATGGAATTGGGGCTGTAACTGGGAAAATTTGATCAGAGCATTGCAGGTACTCTGAGTTAATCAGTGCTGAGTTAAACAGAGTGTGTTGGAGCAATGCTGGGAGAGGAGGAGGATGGAATGGACCCTGCCTGGGACTCCCTGGGCGCTTTATGTGGGATGGAGGATCCAGTTCTCTTCTGGAGCTGGAGTGAGATGGGTGGGAGGGATGAACGTGAAAGGAAGTATTTTCCTCTGAATATTCCAAGGGAGTTGTGGGACAAAGAGCAAAATTGCTTTTACATCAGCAGAGATAAGGAAAGAGTCAGATGCTGGATTTTTAGGTCAGCACATCCCAGTCCTGGGCTGGGGATGAGGAAACTCTGCCAAAAAGGAGGGGATGAGGCTTCTGTGAGGTGTGAAGTCTTCAAAGGACAGGCTCCTGACCAAGAGCTTTCATTATCCTGGGGTTTGTTGAAGTGTGCCTGGAATTATTAGAAAACTCGGAGGTGGCTTTTTTATCTCAGAAAGGTCGAGGAAGCTGTGTGGGGAGTGGTTGCTTCGGTGGTGTGAGTAATGGGGAGGTACTGGCTGAACCCAGCAGGGAAGGGGCCTTTCCTCCCCCAGATTCCCTGGGAACTCACTGCTTTGAGGGCAGGAATAAATGCATCATTGTCCTGCTAATGTGGTGAGTGCAAGAGGCTTCAGAAGCTTTAATCCCTCACAAACTCTGCCTGAAACCTCAGAGAGAAGGGTAGAAGCAGGTAATTGAGGAGTTGAGTGCAGGTTAGAGTGAGGGCAAAGAGAAATTCCAGGTTAAATCACCCAGAGATAAGAGAGGTAATAAAGTCTCAGCCTCAAGAAACTCATCCTGGAGTACTCAAGGAAGTGTCTGGGGCAGGTGCTGAAAAGTTGGCCCTGAATTATTTTCAGAGTGTTGCAGAGGAGAAAGGAAACCTGGGGAACCAAAAAAGGAGAAATGAAAGTAGGGCCATAAAAAGGGAAGGGAAGGGAAGGGAGGAGGTGGAGAGAGAGACCTGGCTGGGCACCACGATTGATGGTGTTTGAATAATCCAGGGATAAACCAGGCTGGTTTATGGCCAGGGGGAGGGAGCTGTTCCCTTTGGAAGGGGGCAGGAGGTCACTGGGTCCTGGCCTGTGCCAGCCCCAGGGGTGTGCTGGTGATGGGAACATTGGAGTATCCAGGCTTGGTGCTGGCTGCTCTCCCCTGCCCCAGCTGGGCCTGCTCCAGCTCTGGGCTGCTCCAGGCAGGACCAGCTTTCCCATTCCCTTCCTCTTGCTCCTGTCCAGCCCTTGGAGGCCAAGAGCTGGGGCTGGAATCAGCCAGGAGTGCAAGTGCACTCCAAGTGCTCAGGGGGACAGAGGAGTTCCCAGAATGGCTTCACAGCGCAGCTCTGCTTTGTCACTGGTTCACAAACTGAGTTCTTCCAGCATCTTACCACCCCAGAATGCTGCTGGAATCCCACAGGGGAGATCAGGAGCTGTAAGCAATCAGTCTAAGGCATGAATTTGGGGATTTTTTCCATGGCCATGTATAGCTTTTATTATAAAATATGAACATTAATTAATAATTAATCTATTATTTATTATATTATAATATTGCTAATTGATATATCGATACTATATTAACATGGTATTATAATAATATTGTGTAATATATTCATATATCATTGCCATTAAATTATTCTCAAATATTACTATATTATTATATTATACTGTAGTATATTTGAATAATTATACCGCATAATTATATTATGTTGTTATTATTATTATTACATTCTATTACATTATATCGTAGTACATTATATATACTATACTATATTATAGTATAGTATGTATATAATGTATATATACTATATATATATACTATACTATATTATACTATATATACTATACTATATTATAGTGCTATATGTACTATAATGTACATATAATGTACATTATAGTGTAGTATACTATAGTATAGTGTATTATAGTATAGTGTGTTATGTTATATTAATAATTATTATATAGTAATAATATTATATTGCTATATTATATATATAGTATATATATATAATTTTCTATTATAATACTATATTATTATCATTTATATTATATAATATTATATGGTATAATTTAATATTATATTAATTATAGTTACATGCCTAATTACTTATATTAATTATATTATATTATATTATATTATATTATATTATATTATATTATATTATATTATATTATATTATATTATATTATA